TTTCCGCAAAACGATTTCCCCATTTCGCTGGAAACCCCAACTAAATGCCATGTAGCCACATCAATATGTTGAAAAGATTATATATATTTAAAATTATAAAGGATACGTATAGTAATATATAAAATGCATGCAGTATACAGCCAGTACAAAAGGTAAGGTCAGTCTGATTTTAAAAATCAATATTGCATGAACGATGAACATGTTTTCAATTAACAGAACTCAGTTTTTGACAAAAATTGGATTTACTTCTCTTTAATTGTAGTGTACCTTCTTATAAACCAAAAAAACAATAAGTTAAATAAATTAGATATTCAATTTCCAAAATAAGATTATTTAAATATAATAATTTGTAAAATGTAAGGTTGAAAGCTTTTTCAGAATTTGAAAGATTACTTGGAATATCAATATGAATAATTTATATAATATCTATAAATAGACAAGTTTTTAAATTACTACGTTGTTTAAAAACAAGTTTTTGTATGAAATTGATTGTAAGTTAAACATGCACTGGGAATCAAGGAAACAACAAAAAGTTTGAATCTTAAATGTTCAATAGTTAAAATTTTATATTTTCTAAAAAAAATTTTAATTTAATTTAATTCCTCCTATTATTATATTTAAGTATAACTGAGTGAATAATATTTTAATTCTCCTCAATCCCACCCACCAGCCACCAGCCACCAGCCAGCACTTCTTATCTCATTTTCATTTATTTTCTTATTCCTCTGTTCCCATTTACTCACATTCATCATTCTTTCATTCAATTGAATTTGACATATTTTATCCGGGTTATATGTGTAGTCCTCCCCCCCCCCTCCCCCTCACTTCCCGGATATTTGATGTATAGTAGAGGCCCTGAAATCTCGTGGAACAATCTGGAATATTTTTAAGATTCACGGAAAATATGGAACGTTTCATAACATTGATGAATATTCAATTCATAACACATAACACAATCTAATTATGTGGACCGACTGTGGACCATAAGCGTAATTTCAAGTGGCCTTCCATGCCATGACTGATTCACAACTGTACCCTTGAAACCTTATTTTAATCAATATTGTTGTTTTTCTAGTTTTAAAGGTGTTTGATCAAAGAGAATAGATATCATAGAGTGGAATTAAGTCAAAAAAGTGTAAAACCACCATTTTGTTGAATCAAATATTAACTTTAATTCATCTAGCTATTAAATGCGTCTAATATTAATTCAACAATTTTAAAAAGAAGAAATATTTACCTCATTTGTCCAGGGACCTCGCTGTATTATTGTGATGCACTGCTGTTGACCATAAATCTACCTTCTAACCCCCCCCCACCCCATGTTGTCGTCTTTACCTAGTTCCAAACCAAATAAATACTTCGGCAATTTTTTATGTATAATAGTAGTGAATAATCCAATCCACAAATAACTTTGCAATCCATAGTGAATTCCACTTAAACAACTGGGTTTACATTTTCATAAGTATTTACAAATTTAAACCATTCCATCAAACCCTCCGATTCTTAGTCATCCCGACACAGCTAAATAGTAAGATATCTAATTAAACATTCAATAACATTTATAAATTGACATTTATTTTAACTATACCTACATTTTATTGCAGGTTTGAAATATATCCATTTTCGTAAATATTTGCAACTTTAGTGTCCAATTTAAGGAGCTTGGTTAACAAGTCAATAAGTCAACTAAACAATGAGTCAACAAGCCAATGAGCCAATTAAACAATGAGTCAACTGTCAATAAGTCAACCTAGCCACCGACAACCCCCTTAAGTTTCAACATTTCAAATGATATGATCCCAAACAGCTAGGATGGACGTTGTTAAATCTCTCCAACAGGAATATATCCATGGAGTAATCAAATCTACCAACACCGAGACCCCTCTCTAGGAACCTCAGAAAACATGCACCAGAAATTCACCCTGCCTACAACAGGGATGTAAGATCTGCAGCAAACCAATCAACCATGTCTGCAACCCGGATGTAACCCTGAGCAGTATCAATCTCCCGACTACTGCTGCCTGACCTCAACCACCAGATAACCACCCCATTCTGCTCCTCACTGTGGCTTAAAAACTCGCTATTTAGGAGAATAACATCACGGATGGATCACATCAACCATCCTAACCATGTATGCAAACTTGGAATTTTTCCTTTATGACTGCCCTGACCTCCATAAAGCCTAACAGACATGCCAGAACATCTTCAACTCCCGCTCTCAATCACCAGTTAATCACCCCATCCTGCTCCTTTCTCCTGCTCTGCGACTTTCCAACATGCTTTTCATTTATACATCCTTAACATGAAATTCAATCTAGACCTTTTCCTTTATGACTGCTACAACCTCCATGAAACCCAAGAGATCCCCATGGAACTCCTCTACTCCCTCTGCAGCTCACATACTCCCGTCTTTTACTGGGATTTCCACGACCTACTGGGATTTCCACGACCTACTGGAATTTCTACAGAACTCAATACCTTCTGGCTACTACAACACCTGTGCAAAAATTGCTCCTGTCAAGACCTTAATACAAGATTTCCTACTGACCTACAACTTGTTGATCCCACTGTCCCACATCAACTGTAGATCCTTCACCTAAACCAGATCCTTCAACCAAACCAGATCTGTTAACTGAACCAGATCTTTCAACCAAATCTGATCCTCCAACCAAATCAAATCCATCTACCAAACCAAATCCTTAAACCTAACCGGATCCTTCCACCAAATCATCCAATCCAACCTGACCCTTCAACCAAACCAGATCCTCCAACCGAACCAGACATGTCAACTGTACTTAAACCAAATCTTTCAACCAAACCAAATTCTTCTACTGCATCTGATCCTCTAATTGAACCAGATCTTCTTACCTTTCCAGGTTCTTCAACTGAACCAGACTCTTCAACCAAACCAGATCCGTCTACTAAACCACATCCTTCAACCAACCAAATCCTCAGATCAAACCAGATCATTCTACCAATTCAGATCCTTTAACAAAACCAAATCCATTAACCAAACCAGATCCTTCAATCTAATCAGATCCTTCAACCAAACCAGATCCTTCTACAAAACCAGATCCTTCAACCAAACCAGATCCTTCAACCAAACCAGTTCCTTCAACCGCACCTGATCCTTCAATTAAACCAGACCATTCAACAAAACCAGATTCTTCAATTGATCCAGAACCTTAAACTAAACCAGAACCTCCAACCAATCCAGATCCTTCAACCAAACCTGATCCTTCAACCACACCTGATCTTTCAATTAATCCAGACCTTGTAACTGAACCAGATCCTTCAACAAAACCAAATCCTACAACCGATCCAGATCCTTTAAACAAACCAGATCCTTCAATCTAACCATATCCGCCCAAAGAATCTGTTCTTTTAACCAAACCTGATCCTTCAACCAAACCAGACCCTCCAACAAAACCAGACCCTTCAGTGTTTGTATAAAATGCCTTCTTTTTGAGCGAAAATTTTATGTTTTTTTAAAAAGAAAATGGTATTGAAGGTTTTAAAAGCTAGTTTTTGTACATTTTCTTTACACTTTTCAGATTATTAAATGCCTTTTTTTCGAAATTAGAAAATGTAAATACTTTCAAACTAGAGGTTTTTGCAGTA